CGGGGAAGGGGGGTTGTTTTAGTTAATTTAAAATAAATTTAATTTTTTTTTTTTTTTTTTGTTTGCTTTTAATTAGGTCGAAGATATTATAAACGATAAATCAATCCTAATTAAAAGCATACAAAGTGTTCTTTATATGTTTGATATTCATTAAAAATATATTAAAAAAGACTAGAAATAGTATATATTAAGTTGTTACAGTTATAATTTAATCTTTGGTGGTTTTCAGCAAATAGCAGGCAGTTTCACATAATTTTCCTCCCTTTGAAGTGAATTAGAAATCACATATAATTTTATTAAAAAAAAAAAAAAAAAAAAAAAAAAACTTTAAAACAATAAAAAAAACAAATTAAATTAGATGTAATCATCTGCTGATCATGCTAATATAACACAACGCGCGTCCTTAATTCCTGGCAAAAAATTAAATAACTGCTCAGCAGCACATTAGTGTAATGGAATTTTGCAAAATCATAACTGTGTGTAGATATGTTTAATTTAATTACCATTGTATCCTTCTGAAACCAGGTGTACAACAATTAAACTCCATGATAAAAAATAATTAAGAGTCTATACAAAACAGAATACTGGCAAAAACTCTGAAGGTATTTAATTTTACAATAATCTGACAAACTAAAACGACAAATCAAACCGTAAAATCGCAACAAAAGCGTCTCTGGAGTGACAGTTAAAATCAAATTTTGCAATTGTCAGATATTGGACATTTTTGCTACTATTTTGACAGTTTTAACATTTTGCGCCTCTGCATTTTGGAAGAAAAACTATTTTTAATGAACCGTCATTTCCATTTAAGTTTCCCAGCCATGGTTGTTGCTTAGTAAATTCAAACACACCCATAGCAACGCCATTCATGGCAGAGATGATTTAACTTATCATTTCACCTTTTTTGGAAAATCTTAAACACATTTGCTGTTTCGAATTTCGATCACCTTTTTCATGCTAATACTCCACCGTGAGGCGGTTCATCTCACTTCATTGCTCGTTTCGCACCAAACATTTTGACAATTATGGATGTATTATTTTAATGGGTACCTATTGTAACGAAATATTTGATGCACGTCATCAATCGTATATCGACATTGACACTAAAGTCTATAAACCCGAATAAATGAAAATTTGGCAAAATGTTTAAATTTGTTTACATCACATACCGAGCAGCTCTTCATTTTAGTTTATAGAGCAAATGATCGTAACAGATATTTTATTTAGATTAAAGCTGCAAAATTAGTTTAAACCGAATTTTATTATCGCTATGTTGGTTACATTGCGCCGTTTTCAGCAAGGTTATCTTTATTATTTGGACAATAATTGTCAACAATAAACGCATCAAGACAGATAATCATTATTTTAATGTCATTACTTTCAGCGAATATCGAGCTGTTGTTGAATCTTTGTGAGTAATTCCCATTTTATTATTTTCATAGTCTTTTTTGACAAATTGTACTTTTAAGCACAAACACTTCTTTTAAGAACTAAATTTTCGCTTTTGTATTGTATTTCTTGAAATTGTGTGTTAAAAACGTGCCGAAGCGTTTAAACAGTCGAAGCAAAAAGCTTGTAGCTTCCCTAATAAACTTTAACGAGAACGCGACAAATAAATCCTAAGGGGTATAACCCTGACTGCAGTCAGAGAAGTAAGTTTGATTGATAAGCACATTATACCACTTTATTACCAGAATATTATTTCTACGTTAGTTGATATTAAATTCTGTGATTATTAGTTTGTGCATTAATAGCACCATCTTGTTATTACCACTTATGGCGTTGTAAGATGCACATCAATAAATAACAACAACCCATAATAACGCTTAGAATAACTTCATAATGGACTAGTTTTTTGCCAATATGTAATAAGTAAAATAAGCTATAAACAAATAAATCAATTAATTTCTAAAATATTAGTTATTAAATTAAAAATAGAACGTAAAAATCTTTAAAAAATGATATAATATATTGTTTGTCACTCTTAAATTAAGATTCATCTCACATAAACTCTCCTAACATAACCTATCCATCACAGTCCTGGCAGCGCTGTCGCCATCGCTTGTCGCCCAAAGTTGATCACGTGCACGTGCATCGGAAATTGCTTTGCGGATTACTATATATGAAACGGAACCGTTCAAAAATAATACTATTTTTCTAGCAAAACAAAACAGACGATATGTCAGTCGACAAGTCTTGTTGTAGAATTTTGCAAGTTTATTTGTTTAATGTGGCTTTCGTAATTTATTTATATTTAACATTACGTTTATACCTAGACACAACTTTACTGCTGAACAATTTATTACATTTTATCAATTTAGCTTTATTGCTAAACATGTTGTAAGAATTCAATAGTAGAAAAAACCTAACGTTTCTTAAAAAGAACAGGGTTTGTTTACGTTCTTAAATAATAGAAGGTCTACAATATCCAATTCAAAGTAGAAACGCATTATCCAGCAAATACTGACGTTGTTTCAATAATTTTATTGAAAATTGTTTCTCAAATTCGTTTCAGCTCTTTTTAACCTGAATATGACATGAGATCATTAGAATTATATGGAAATATTGATTTTGTGATTATTCGACTATTCCTTTAAAAATTCCGTGATACTCGATGGATCAAAAAGCTATCTTTTATTTGAAGTCACGTGATATATTTAGAAAATGTCGCGAGTTGTTGTAAAAATAGCGAAACATTAAAATATTTAAGAATATTTTTATCTGAAGGGTAGCAACCTCAATAGTGTTTTGAAGCGAGGTGAATTCTTCATTCAATATTGAAATAATATGTTCCGTTTGAAATAAAAGTGTAACTTGCTTTTGAATGTGACGAATGTTCATTAGTATTAATTTTGTCTCATCGTGTAGTAACTTTTCAGTTCTTTTAATTTAATTTAAAAGAACTGAAAAGCTTAATAAAAACCGTAAAAAATACAAAAAACAACTTTGATGTGTATTTTTTTTTGACACTATATGTAGAATTCTGTATATTTTTTAGAAAATCTCTAATGAATCACAGATGGGAAATTAAAAATAACTTTGGTTGCACATCACAATACGACCACCAGCGAATTCCATAAGACGACGCATGGTGTCACTGATGACGTGCAAAGAAAGTTGTTTTAATTTCCTTTATACTCATAAAATGTCGTTTCACAGGTGGCGCCTCTCATATAAGACGCGGAGATTCCAAAGAGAAATTTTAGGATAATATGTAGTTGAAAGCATTTTATAAAAAATATATAGAGTTCTTACAGGATATCTCCAAAAAAAAAGTTACTTTTAAAAAGTTATGTTTGTAATAGAATACTTTATATATTAACCTCGATATTAACTGATTTTTGAATTCTAGATAAAAAAATAAAGGTGAGTTTTATTAAAGAAGCGCAGCTAAAACGTAAGGATTTTGACATATTTCTACTTGTGACAATGAAGAATAAATTTTAATTTCAATAACAGCTACCTAAATTGTAATTTACCTCTATAGCCTTAATATTTAATTACTAACAACCATTGTATGTTAATGAAATTGTAATTTGACCCGAAAAGTTATACAGGGTGACACAACATTTATATTGAATATTGGTTACATTTAAAAGCAAGTTAATCCTTTATTTTAAATAGAACACCCAGTATACTATTCCGATGTCTGAGAATTAATATATCTTCAAAATATTAAGGTTGCTGATCTATCAGAAAAAAAATTTTCCTAGATATTTTCATTATTTTTGTGTCAGTAGTTATTTATTTTTTGAAAAGTATAGAATAGCTGTGATATAGCTTTATTAATTTAACAAAAATTGTGCTTGTAAATTACTGCATAAAATTACTTTCAAAAGATCTTTCATGTAAAAAGGCTTATATGGAATTCTACTTCGAAAAACAGCAACATGTTGTCGACAATAGTTGGTCGATTTTTATAAACTGTCTTTAACATATTCGCATAAAAAAAGCCCAGACTAGATTAAATGGGATACAAGAGCCCAATTGCATTCAACAACTAATAGAATCATAGATACTAATAGAATGATATCAATTCTCTCTAATGGGGGATAAGTTCTAATTTTGGAAACTTGAGAATTTTTTTGTTTTAACTGGTACAAAATGAAAACTAGTTGTTAAAGTTGGATCAATTAGAGAGGTATATTTGAAGCAACGTCAAAATATATCACAACCACAGATTTATCAACAATAAAGATCTGCTGACACTAAATCTTAAAAATAAATAAAAAAAAAAAAAATCTTTTTTGTTTTATAGGCAACCCCATTGAATTCTTAACTCAGAGAATAGTACAGATATTAGGCTATACTGGGTAACGAATTTGTGCAAGTGTGCTTATTTTAGGAAATGTTAAATATGTTAAAAAAAAAAAAAAAAAAAAACATAAATTTCAATAAAATTTCACTTTTAAAAATAAAACAAAAAAAAAAAAATTCCAGTTTAATATATATGGTGTTCCATTACAAACAACAACCTTCTTTAAAAAGGGGACACTGTTAATTTTCTACATTTTTAAAAGTGCTCTGAAATAACCTACATGTGCTCACAAAACTATTTGCTCAGTTTCCTACAAGGCATAGCGTCACTCTTTACAAACGCGTCGTAGAGAGGCCCCACTCATAAAACGACTGGCAACATAATTTTTTAACAGAGTCTAAATAGTACTTAATAGTCTTTTATATTTCATGGAAATATGTTTTTTGATCATCTTCTTAAACTATATGAAAATTTTCTGAAAAACAAAATTTTTTTTTAATAAATTTAGAAATATACAGATAGATATGCATTATTTCAAGCAAGATTTATTTTGCTGAATACAAAAATGCGAATCACGATTGTATTTCTTAAGGAAGAAAGTAAATTAATAATTTATACTGGAACTCATTTTCCCGTAGCTTCTAAAGACATATGATTCACTTCTAAAATTAGACTATTAGTAAGTTACCAAACAAAAAAATTTCAATGAAGTAGAGGTAATTAATTTTCATATCTTTTTCAGACTGTTATTGTAGAAGATGGAGACAAAAACGACCCATGCAGACAGAAAAAGCTTTACGACAAACAATATACTTATGATGTTGTGTTTGGCGAGAATTCGTCGCAAGAGGAAGTGTATGATATTACCACTAGTAATTTAGTTAAGGATGTTTTGAATGGGTAAGAATTATAGACTATTAACATAATAGTTCTGTATAAAAAAACATTCTCTGTCTACTAGTAGTACTAAATTTAAACATAAAATATAATATGTTTAAACAATACTAAGCAGGGTGGTCAAATGCATTAATTATTTAATGAAAGAAAAATTTAAATAAATAGGAGTATTATTTTATTACCTGTCTATACTTAAAATAACTATATTAGGGTCGGTGTATTACTTGGATCGGTATTTCGCACGTTAGCGGGGCTGAGTTAGTTTAAAGTTAGTTTGAAGAGTATAATGTACAATGTACTGAACAAAGAAAGAAGATTAAAAACGTTGCCAAACGTATGAAAGAAACCCAGTGCATATTGCTAAGAGACGAGGGTGTGTACAGTGTATTTTGGTTGAAATCATGTGGTATCTCCGTTATTAGTGAAGATAGAAGTTTTGTTTGCACAAACCTGTCTCACTTTTTGTCAAAACGAAGATGCTGTAAACAAAAATTTCATAGACCTCTTCGTTTCCGAGCTACGGGGTCTTTTTAAAAGGCCTTGCAAATTTGGGACACCCCGTATCTCTGTTAAGGTTGTCGCCCACTACGCTGGGAAGAGAATTTTTCCGGCTGCGAAGGGACTGCGCCCACTATATCGCGCTTTTGAAACGCGGCAACGCCATTTAAGGTTATAGTTTTTTACTTACTGTAGCCAGTTTTGTAAGTAGTTTAAGTACGGACGAAAGCGTATTTTGTGCTCTTCTAACAGAGGAAGAGGAAGAAGGGGTGAGGAAAAGTTTGGACTCATAAGATTAACAAAAAAGAAAGAAGTTTGGAGACTTTTACCATCTTTTTCCAGATTTAATAAAAGACAAAATCATTTTTTCAGTATTACAAATATAAAGCGAAAGATTTCATGCACTCCTTAATTGAGGGTTTTAGAAGAAAAACACCGGGTATATCTATCTACTCATCATATTTTTTCAGAAGAGACAAATTACTAATATTTTTATTAATTTTATTTATTCTGATGTGTATATTAGTTTTTTTTTTTTTTTTTTTTTTTTTTTTATATATTTTGGTAATTAGAATTTAAAATTAGATTGTCACTTTTGTTAAAAAAGTGAGATTAGTTTTGCCTTCACCCTCAATTATATTTAAATCTTTGATAGAAAGGCATTTCGTCCATCTGTCTAGTGAGGGAAGACTAAAAAAAAAATATCATATTCTTTCATAGAAAATCGATTTGCCTAATTTACCTTTAAAAAATACAATTCTGCCATTGATTCATATCACTAGTTCCTAGCCAAAAAGCCAACTGAAAAGACTCGAATGCAAAATTATTTCCCTTGTGAGTACGCACACTGCAACGCGCCGAAACGCGATGGTGCCAAGGTATAAGCCCCACTTTGACGGAAACGCGGCGTTTCAGCTGCGCGCCTGGCCGTGCTGGTCCATTTAAATGGCAAGCAGACAAAAGAAACTTTGAATATGGCCTATAAGACAACCCTATTAAAGGTGGAGAGAGGTGGAAAACTGTTTATTCTAGAACTTTTACGTAGAGTACAGCGGCGTAGTGTCTATTTATAAATCATATTTTTAAAGATATGGAACCAGTTATGTTTTCTCTCTCAAAAAGAACAACTACATTAATAAATTATGAAGATTAATAACATGTTTCAAAAACATATATCAATTCTGATTTATTAAATATTATACAATAAAAAAAAAAAAAAAAAAAAAAAAAAAAAAAAAAAAAAAAAAAGAAACTAAAGAATTTATTAAAAAGTACCTGCTTATCAGTCTATTGTTTTGTTTTGGGAGTCACTAATAAATTCTCCATATAATAAAACTCCTAACTCTCAACCGCTATTTGTCTCTAGTTTATCCACATTTAACCTTTAGATACCTCAGCGACTTATGTGAAATTTACTTTCAGCAAGATGGGTTTCCCTCAACTTCATGAATAAATATATTAGAAATCTGTTCTACCATTGACAAATCACATCAACTAATTTTAATATGACCCATGATGGCCTCCTGATTCCCGGATTTAACTGTCTTTGATTTTGACTTTTAAGATTTTTAACGTTTGTGATAAAATATACTGTAAAAACCTAACACATTGTAGAACACCTGGAAAATGCTATCAAGCAAGCCATTGTCAAAAACCACTGTTATAATAAACTGTGCTTTAAAAAAATGGAAAATATATTTTTTTTTTTTTATTTAAACTTTCAAAAGTAAACATAACAATAACATCATTTTAGTAACATTTTAAGCTATTTAATAATAACAAGAATGATTACATTTTAAATTATTAGAAAATAGGTAATAAACAAACATAGATATATATTTTCCATAGCAAGTGATCACAGACTTACTGAAAACATAACTTTAGTCTATATTTTCAAAAATATTTTTTCTGTAGAAAACAGATTACGTAACTGTATTCTACGTAAAAGTTCTATGAACTGAAGTTTCACCTTCTCGAACAATGAATCCAATAACGGAGATACGGGAACAGTCCCAAATTGCAAAATTTTCGAAAAGACCCTGTAGCTCTTGTAGAAAACCAGTGCGGCCATGGTACTGTTGACAGCATCTTCCTGCCTTATAAGAGGTATTGAGTTTGAAAAAACCGCAATGTTTCTGAGATATTACTAATATCTGAGATACCGTATGATTTCGTGTGGCACCCTGTACATCAAGCCTTCAGCTTCATGTGATTGAATTTATCCTGTTAATTTATTTGCTTAAAAAATAGAAAAATTATTAAACAGTAATCTAACCGCAAGGGTAGATTAATGATACTTTGAACAAGATATTTAAATTTAAAAAACTTAAAAAAAAAAAAAAAAAACATTTTAATTTGTCATTTTGTACCGCTAAGTTATTTAGGATTTAAATGCCTGAATATCTGTTGGTAATTCACTTATTTCTGTTTTGAGCCATTTCTGGCACCAATTCATTCAGAAATCGACACGAAAGTAGAATATTGTAACCAAACTGACAACTAAAGAGCTTTATTTATTTGTGAAATTACATAGATACCAACGCCAAACCAGCAAAATATTTTTTTCATCTAACAACTTGTTATCAATTTCTGAATATTTTTTTATAAACGCAACCTGCTATGAAAACTATTGTTTTATACACCATCGATCATCATTATTGTTCTTTGTATGATCACCAAGTATCACTGGGGACCATCTGGTCGACTTATCATTATCGTCTTGAATAAAAAATAACTATTTTTAACAAGGCACATGATTTCTCTTTCGATTTTTAACAAAATACTTTCAAAACGGGCTCTATTAATGCCTTAATGTTTTATTAGGACATTATTAGCGATTTGAGTAAAAATCTGAAATAAAATATTTAATATTCAGTTTTTTCAGAACATCTCTTTCAAAACATCACTTTGTATCAAGTAGAATTAAATGGATATAATAACTACAACAACTATTCCCTCAGGATATTACTTTCTAATTTTACTTATATTTCTTGTGTTTGATAACAGAACAATTATTTTTATTTTTTAGTTATAACGGTACTGTTTTTGCATATGGGGCCACTGGTGCCGGAAAGACTCATACAATGGTAGGAGACTCAAATCATCCGGGGATTATGGTTAGAGCTTTAAATGATATATTCGAAGCGGTTAGAGATAAAGAAGAAGAATATTCGGTAAGTAAGAATAAATTAATATAAACATCCCAATTTCGAACTCGTCTTAAGTAAGTATTATTCTAATTTAAAAATTTGAAAATAATTCTTTTTCCCATCTTATATGGTTTAGAGTTTCGTTTAGTTTTTTTATACGAATTACGGATATATTAACATATTGGTGTGTAAAGTTTGATTTTATTTTATGTTGTTAACTATTGTATAATCAAACTCGTTTTCTCATTTTATGCACAGGTATTACTCAATTTTATATTAAAAATTAAAATACGAGCGAATTATTCTGCAACTGCTAATGTTGAGAACTAAAAATGTTGATAAAAAAACACAAATCTTATATTCTCTCATATGTTTGGTAGATATTCTTCAGAAAAATTATTCAATTTATATACAGGGTGGCTCCTCTCATACGCCGCGGAAGTTCCAAGGAGAACGGTAGTTTATATCGAAATGAAATTTTGGCAGCATATGTAGGTTAATTGAAAGCATTTTACAAAAATATATAGAATTATACAGGGTGTCCCAAAAAAGAGTTACACATCAAAGTTGTGTTTTTTCTAGTCTAATGGAACACCCTATATATTAATTGATTTTCGGACTCTAGGGAAAAAATAAAGGTGAGTTTTATTAAAGAAGCATATACCTTAAATCTAAGGCTTCTGATATATTTCACATTTTGTGAAAATGAAGAGTAAATTTTAAATTTCGATAATAGCGACCTAAATTTTAGTTGGTTTTGTATAGCCTGAGATTTAATTACAGTAACCATTGTATGTTAAACCAAATTGAAATTTGACCCGAAAAGTTATACAGGGTGTGACAAAACTAATATGGAACATTAGTCACTTTTAAAAGCAAGTTACTCCTTTATTTTAAAAGGAACACCTAGTATATTCTTCCGGTGTTTAATGGGGAATTTATATATCTTCAAAATATTATTAAGGTTGTAAACCCCTCAGACAAAGATTTTCCCAGATATTTTAATTTTCATGATTTTGCGTCAGTAAATCTTTATTATTTAAAAATATCTAGGTGGCTGCGTGATATACCTTTTGTTAATTTCACAAAAATTAAAGATTGTAGAGTAAAATACTCAAGGGTAATAAAAAGATATCCGTTTAAAACATATTTTAATTATTACAGAATTAAAACTAGATATAAACCTATAATTATGCGACAAAAATTAGCTATATGAAATCAAATGCTCAAAATGCTTCCTTTCCTGTTAACTGCATAAAATGATTGTCTTTTCAAAAGGATCTTTTGACTTTAAAGGGACGAACCCTACGATAGTGTGTTAACTATCGTAGGACGAACCCTACGATAGTAGGGTTCGTCTGGTAGGGTACGTAGCTGCTTTTCGACTACCTGGAAAAGCAACTACAATAATTTCTCTCATATTGTCGAGTTTTATAAACACTGTTTTTAACATATCCCCATAAAAACACCCAGACTAAATAAAATCAGGAGCATTTAAGTATTCTATTAATTGGTGAATGGACACTGCATTCACCAACTAATAGAATCATATCAATTCTCTCTGATGTAGGATAAGTTTGCATTCTCAGCAAATTTCTGATAATTTTTTTTGTTTTAACTGACACAAAATGATAACTAGTTGTTAAAGTTGGACTAATTTGACAGCTATGTTGAAGTAACGTCAGACATAATCACCAGCCACTTAGATTTTATCAATAAATAAAGATCTACTCACATCAAATCAAGTAAATGAAAATATCTAGGAAAATCTTTGTTTGAGGAGTAGGCAACCTTATTAGTATTTTGAAGAGACATAAATTTTCCATTGAATATTGAAATAACATACTGGGTGTTCCATTTAAAATAAAAAAGTAACACTCTTTTAAAGGCGACCAATGTTCAATATTAATTTTGTCACACACTGTATAAAATTTTGGATCAAGTTTTAATTTGATTTAAAGTACAAGAGTTACTTTAACGACATATTAGACTTTACGGGGTAAATTCTAATTTAGGTAGCTTTTATCGTAATTTAAAAATTGTTCTTTATTTCTAGAAAATGTTAAATATGTCAAAAACCTTACATTTTAGTCATATACTTCTCTTATAAAACTCACCTTTATTTTTCTCTTAGAATCCAAAAATCCATTAATATATAGGGTGTTCCATTACAAAAAACACAACTTTGATATGTAACTTTTTTTGGGGACACCCTGTAGAAGTCTCTATATTTTCAGAAAGTGCTCTGAATTAACCTACATATGCTCATAAAATTTAATTTCAATACAAACTGTCGTTCTCCTTGGAGCCTCCGCGGCGTATGAGAGGCGCCACCCTGTATGATTCGTATTTTTATATAGATTAAATGTTATCAGTTGTTTGTTTTAATTCTTTATTGCGATAAAAATCAAAAATTTAGACAAAAAAACTTTAATTTATTGAATATTATGTTATCATCATCAACAGATGATTTTTTTTCCATAACAAGGGGCCGTCCTCTGCCGGAAACACTGCGACCTGTGAGGCCTATTGTGTTTGTTCCCTTTCTATATCTGCATCCATTCTCCTATCCCTGTGCCCTGCACTAACTTATGCAGGTCCTTGAGAGGATGGGAGCACAGTTCCTCCAGTTCTAGCCTAGCTTTTCCAAATAAAGTGTGTCGCTTGCGATCCAGAGCCTCGCAGTGACATATTATGTGCTCCGCTGTTTCAGGATCTTTATCGAAGAGTCTGCAGCAAAGACTTCCTTGATACAGGTCGAGCTTGTTCAGGTAACACTTGACAGCCATGTGTCCTGTCAAGAGGCCTGTTGTAATCCGCACTTTATTCCTGCTAAGCATTAGCAGTTCTTTTGCGGTTTTAGTGCTAGGTCCTTGGATAAAAGCCTTGCTGAACAGATGATTTAGACAAGTTTTAGTTAATTTTAATAATTTTTGCTGATGCTAATTATCATCAGCAAAAATGATGAACGCGCGTATACTATTAATAGGAAAAGGACTTGGTTTATTGTTGTGAATTAGTTTTTTATTTTGCTGTGTAATAGATTAATAATTAAGACCAATAAGGGCAAATAGTCCAGAAAGTAAATCATCATCATTATCATCAACCAGCCACTAAAGTCCACTGCTGGACGTAGACCTCCCTCATTTGCTTCCATAACTTCCTATCTTGAGCTATTTGCATCCAGTTACTGTGAATACGCCTTAAGTCGTCATGCCATCTGGTTGGAGAACGGCTTCTACTTTTAAATTCATGATGTCTTGATCTCCATTTTATTATTTTTTTCGTCTCTTCCTTGCTCTTCACAGTCGAGGACCTGGTTTATTGTTGTGAACCAATGAGATATCTGAACCAACGAGATCCGGCTGATATACCTGTAAGGTGGAGGCTAGAGGATCTGTCTTCATTTTTTCCACCTCTATAACTTGGTCTCTCTTTAGACCTGATACCGGTGTTGTCTCATTTTACATTCTACATGTATTGGAGTAAATTATTGAATAGTTTTTGAGAGATGGTGTCGAATTGGAGAACATCTTTTTCTATGTGGAAGTTGTTAGTATCTTCATTAAGGCTAACACAAGCTGTAGCGTTCTCATAATATACAGGTTGTTAATTTGTTTATTACTCGCCGCAAGAGCTTTATGGTTGAAATATGGCAACCTCGGCCCGCTCGTCGAGAGACGACGCGACGCGACGGGACGAGTCGGCAGCTTAGCTTAGTACTCATTTGGAATGTAGGCAGTGTTGCCATTCTGTTCCCCAATAAGTAACCGTCCAGTTAACAATCTGTATATGTTTAATCATTGTGATGTGAAGTGAGGTAACAAGCTAGATAAATCATACCTAGAATGAAATCGCCCATATCAAATATAACTATTATATCGGACGCACCCTCCGTCGTCAAATAGATACTAAAATTATTATATTAAATGTAGAAAATGGCAAGTCCGAACAATGACACTGGAATGCAACATTTATCTACCACCTTTAAACATATAGCTCATATGCTTTGAATATTGATATAATCTAAATCATTTTAACCACTTGGGACTAAACATTAAGATATACGATAAGGTGTTGAACGTTAAAATGGTTTACTAATTAACTATAAATAGAAAATTAGTTAAAAAGCACTTTAAAAGTAATGTTATTATTTTTTTTGCGAAATATATATTTTTAAATTTAATTTTCGTACAAACTGTATTCTTTTTGTAATTTTTTTTTACAAATTCTTAGAACTAATGCTATTGATTTTCTAAGCATTTGTCTGTAATAAGCCGCAATAACGCTTAATCATCTATTTCCCTGTCAAGGTTTAGTGCTACTTTAGATATCCATTATTAACTAAAAGTGAAAACGAAATTCGTTGTAAAGTTTAAGGATACATCATTTAGCAAAATAATATTAACTTAGATTTTGTTGATGGTTTATAATTTACAATGCTTTCTTTTGCTATTAGTTATTGCAATAAAATAATATTGTAATTTACCCTGGAAATTACACTTTCTTAGAAGAAGTTAATTTTATTTTTGTCAAAAAAACCTGGGAGGTATAATATTTTTTATTTATTATAATAATTAGTATCTATCATTTCCTGATAAAACTAACATTGTTAGCTCTATATGAGCCTAAAGGTGTTTTGTCTATTGTAGTTGATTTAAGTAATTTTCTTTTGTAATGGAACATTTAATCACTAACACAATCATGGATTACTATATGCCAGGTTGGCATTTCTGGCTTTGGTTGCTGATTTTCGTGTATGCGAAGAGTACCGTCAATGCTCTCAGCACAACAAGAAATACTGAATAAAAAAAGGACAAGTAAGAGCATGGAATATAACGCATTTTTTTCGCCATAGAGATTCACTCCTAGATATATTATTACCAAGCCAAAACGTCTCTCGGTTAGGTCAATATGGTATACCATGATGTTGTTAAATAAATAGTATAATAAAATTGAAGATATTGAGAGGTACTTACTGCGTTCGTTTACGAGCTTAATATACAGGTCTAGTAGAATTACCA